GGAGGTCCATAAAACCCACTAACTCCAGAACCCCAGAAAAGTAAATCTGGTCTATGGGAAGCCCTGAACCTCAGTTTCCCCCTTTCCTTCCTCTTACCCTGTGAGCTTGGGGCACCAGAGGAGTGAGGTGTCTCCGTTGGGGTCACATCAGTGAGCATTGGGGGGGTTTGGAGGAGTTTTTTTGCTTCTCACTTGTGTGGTCCCCAACTGATTTTTTTGTGGGTCAGCGACCCCAGATCCAAAAAGGGTTCCCCACCCCTGCCATAAAGAAAACACTGAAACCTTTTCTGTTGGCCATAAGATTTTACTTTATTTAAAATGAAGTTTGATAAACTAACATGAGAAAGTTAAAATGCTTCATCTGTTTCATAATTTAAATTAAACTGTTCTTGCTAGCTGCAGCTGATTCAGAAAATAAGGTCACTGTACCCAGCAGGGTAGTTCTCAACCCCGCCCCTTCCAGGTCGGCCCGTGGCCACTTCCGAAATTTGTGAAGTGACCCCCCTTCCAAAATTATTGCCCTCCCCAGGACTGTACCCATTACAGATCACAGAAAAGACAGTGGGTCAAGTCGTGTCTTTAGTTATGCAACCCCATGCACGATTAAGTAGGACTTAGCTGATACACAAGCCCCTCATTAGCATGCTACACATGGAGAGATGAATTCACCAGTTTACCTCTGAAACTTGAGGGAGATGAGGTAGGTGAGTCAATGTCTTTTACTGGAGCAATTTCCAATAAAATATATTTCCTCAGCTACCAAGTCTCTCTGCTCACCTGGGACCCACATTACTGCATATCACGTTGGGAATTCTGAGATTGGCCATTTTTCCTTTACTAAAACATAACCAGTTTTGAATGAAAACACTACGAAAAATGTGGTTTTTGCTCAATTGTTAAGTTACCTCAACCCTATTGTAAAGAGGAAACATCTGATTTCACAATGAGAAATTCTGAAATGCAATCAAAGATCAGTGTTCACAGCAGAAACTGTTGTAGCTTTAATTTCACAACATGCCATTCAAAATTGTCTTTTGCAAACAGAGACAACGTTTGTAATTACCGTATTTTCCGGCGTATAGGGCGACTGGGCGTATAAGACGACCCCCTATTTTTTTAATTAAAAGATAGGGTTTCATCTTATACCCCAGCGCCCCTCCGCCTCCTTTGCTCCCGGTGTCCCTGGTCTGCTGGAGATGGTCCCCAGCAGAAAGCAAAGTTCAGATGGTGGCCATTTTTCATCCTTTCCAAACTCCCTCCTTTTACAGAGAAGCAAAAAAGCCAGTTTTGTCCTTCCCCTCCCCTTCTCTAGTAAGCAGGTACTGCAAATTGAACCATTACCATATTCAGTTAAAAAAATTATAGCAAATGAAATGCGTGGGGTGCCCCCCCGCCGGCTTCCCCCGAGGCTTTCAAAGCCGCGGAGGGGCTCCGGCAGCAGGGCATCCCAGGCACGCCTGGGATGTATACCCGGCGTACAAGACGACCCCCGATTTTTGGGGGATGTTTTTTAACATCAGAGGTCGTCTTGTACGCCGGAATATACGGTAAATTCAGGAGAGAATTACCAATATTTTGCTGAAATGCACTGAAAAATTTAGGCAATTTTATCACAGACCTGCTTGCAGAATGTTGTGGTGCCTGCAAAATTTCGCCCATCCTGTCCTGTCCGTCTTGTGCAACACTCCCTGCCACTACAGTATCTGAGCACCTCGCCACCTTTACTGTATTTATCCTCACATCACCCTGTGAAGTAGGACAGTGGTATTATTGCTGTTTTACAGATGGCAAACTGAAGCACAGACAAAGTGACATGCCCAGGGTCTCTGAGGGTATGTCTAGACTACAGGCTTACGTCGACATAAGTTTTGTCGACAGAATCTGTTGACAAAACTTATGTTGACATAGAGCGTCTAGACTACATCCAGTTCTGTCAACAAAGCAAGCCGCTTTGTCGACATAACAGTGTGGACGCAAAGGACAGTGTAGATGCAATAATGCCTTCTATTGACAGAACTCTGTCGACAAAAGGCGTTATTCCTCGTAGAATGAGGTTTACATATGTCGACAAAACTGCTGAGTTTTGTCGACGTTATGTCGACATAACTCAAAGGCAGTGTGGACGCAAGTATAGTTTTGTCGACAAAAGTCCACCTTTGTCGACAAAACCCTGTAGTCTAGACACACCCTGAGAGTCAGTGGCAGAGTACAAAATTGAACCCAGGACACTGAAGTCCCAGAATGCCTTCACCACTAGGCCATACTTCCTCCTCTTCATGTCCTGCAGCTCTGCTAGTTAGCTTACAGTATAGAGAGCTTTCAAATTAGCCCTCGTTCTTGAACTCTAAAGAATAAAAGAAAGGATTTTTTTCCCCCCTTCCAGCCATTCGGGTAAGTGCGTTACCATTAGCAGCAATTACAGAATGGAAGCTTCCTTACCCAGTACCGAAGTTCTAAGTGTCGAACTCTTGCTCCAGGTACCCTCTCCATAAAGTCAATGGGAGTGCAGACTAGTGGCACGCAGTGTCTCTCCGCTGAAATCGGACTAAGCTCATCTAATTGTCTTTAAAAAGAAATTGAGTAGCATAAGCCAGCAAGAGCGTGATTTAAAAAACCCTTACTCTGCTGTACCTCTTTCTTCTAATAAATATTTTTAAAGAGAACCCTGAGCACTTATGCAAAGGACAGCTCTAGGTACCGTTCCTGGTCCAAAAATGAGAGCAAAAAAAATCCAGTATGCAATTAGTTTAGCTTTTTACTGTTAAATCCATTCGTTACAGGAACAGACACTGAAAAACTAGCACCGTGACAGCATATTAATTACGGCTTTGAATGCTGGCCAAAACATGCTCCAAGTACAAAGGAAAATATGTACAGTAGCTGTTCGAATAATTATTAAAATAAAAAACAAAGCATGGAATTGCTCCTGTCCGCAGAGCATCGTTACAGGGTAATAGGCAGTGATACCGAGGGCTACCGCTCATGCAGTAAATACAGCACTCGGCTGTAGTGAATGTTTCTAGTGGGTTTCCTTGCCAAAGTACCAAACAACAGAATTACCTTCATTTTCATTTGCAGTCCGGCCCTCGGGCATTGCTCTTTGTTATTGCTGTAACAGGGCCTGGATGCTTCTCATTCAGCTGGAGCTACACCGATCTACACTCACTGTCTGACCCAGATTCTTTGGGCATCTTAATGAATTCAGAGGTCTGCTAAGGATTGATTTAGTTGGGATCGGTCCTGCCTTGGGAAGGGGGCTGGACTTGATGACCTCCTGAGGTCTCTTCCAGCTCTAGGATTCTATGATTCTGAGATCAAGGCCTAACCACTGACCTGATCCAAAGACTAATGGGAGCCATCTGACTTCAAGAGGCTTTGCATTCAGGCCCTGTGGGCAGGGCCGTCCTTAGGGTTTATGGGGCACTATGCAGTCCTATTAATCTGGTGCCCCTGTACCCAACAGCAGCTGGGGCAGCGGAATGATGATTTTTTAGAGCTGTGACTTTCTAATCCTCAGCAACACACTAATGACTAATATTTGTAAAGCAAATTTTAAACTCAGGTCCTGTCAACTAACTTCAGAAGCTGACAGGGTAGACCCGGGTCAGCAAATGCCTGTTCAGTGGCTTCGCTGCTGCTTGAACGGCTCTTCCGCAGTGTCAATGGCAGCTTACAGTCCTGGCAGGCTTTGCCACGCTCAGATTAACTAGATCCTCCCCGGAGGAAGCAGAGGCACAGAACCGGGATAGGAAGGGGCGGGTGGGGTGGATATTAAGATCCAACGGTGCCCCAAATGTGCAGATGCCCTATGCAACTGCGTATTCTGTGTGTGGTAAGGACAGCCCTGCCTATGGGACTAATTCCGGCGCCATGAATTCAGACTCAGGCTCTCAGAGGGCGTGTCTACACAGCCAAGTTACTTTGGAATAACAACCACTATTCCGAAATAACTACGTGAGCATCTACACAGCAATTCTGTTATTTCAAAATAATTTTGAAATAACGGCTGGCTTATTGCGACTTCTGTAAACCTCATTCTACGAAGAATAATGCCAATTCTGAAATAGCTATTTCGAAATAAGGCGTGGTTTGACGCTCCACTGCTGCTATTTCAAAATAGCCCCTCACCTGGGCCATTCAAGTTATTCCTCCTGGGTCTCGAAAGTGAGAACGTCTACATTAGGGAAGCCTGCCTGAGACTCATCCTGAGGCTTCCCTGCAGTGTAGATGTGCTAATTCGAAATAAGCTATTTCAGAATAACTATTCCGGACTAGCTTATTCCAAAATAACTGTGCAGTGTCGATGTAGCCATAGAGGCCTTCAGCCAAGAATGCCCTCACACGTGGTCCAAATGATTTTATTAATTGTGTTGGGAAATTGGAGATTTCAGTGGTGGGGTCTCTCAACTATTCAAGGCAACAAGGATCATACAGGGCATTTTGGGGATCTGATCCTGCCTCACGTAGGGCCTGATCCAAAGGCCACGTGAGCCCCACTGATTCCATATGCATGGAGTTCTGCTCAGGTTCTGTGATCATCTTAGCGAATTTAATTGGGCTGGTTTGGGGGGTGCGGGCAGGCAGGGTTGGTAGCCATTTTGATCGTTTCTTTTGACATATGACAGCTGTTGTTGTAACAAAGGCTGTGTACAAAGAGCTGGTCTCCAAGGGTATGTCTACACTTGCACCCTATTTTGAAATAGGGATGCAAATGTAGGCATTCAAAATAGTCAATGAAGCCAGGATTTAAATATCATTAGCATAATCGCGTCCGGGCGCTATTTCGAAATCACGCTATTTTGAAATAAAACGCCCTGTGTAACCGCGTTATTTTGAGAGAAAACCCTTCTTTCGACATAACTGTTGAGGTTTACCAGTTATTTTGAGAGAAGGGTTTTCTCTCGAAATAACGCGGTTACACGGGGCGTTTTATTTCGAAATAGCGCGATTTCAAAATAGTGCCCGGACGCGATGATGCGAATAAAGCACGGGATATTCAAATCCCAGCTTCATTCATGATTTCAAATGCCTACACTTGCATCCCTATTTCGAAATAGGGTGCAAGTGTAGACTCATACCCCAAAGGAGTTACGATTTCAGTGCTTTAGGATTAACTTTTTTTAAAAATCCACTATGCGGCTGCTGGCACTCAGACAAAACCTGTTAGACACCAAACAAAATAAAGCTAAAACAAACACAAAGCCTAAACCGTGATCAAATGCATAATTGGGAGGTTTTGTTTTTAAAAAAGCACACAGTTTATAAACGGCGGTTTGCATCACCTGATTGGTTTCAAAACAATGTCCAGAACACACAGGGCAGCTCAGACCCATGTTGCTCATGTCATAAAAATTGGCTTCTCCTAGACATTACGGAAGCTGAAATTCCTTCAGTGAGGTTGCTCCTCTCAGTCAACCCCATGATGCCAGTTTATCGTCACATTGCATTTTGCCCTTCTGTCTTCATAAATGATTTCCCATAGACTCCGAATAAAAGATGCACTTTGTCATTTCTGCTATATTGCATGTCCACTGGGGGAATAATAAATAACAGCCATTTCCAATGGCAGTCAGAATGGGGACGGGGAAGTTTGCAACAGTCCTTTCTGAAGCGCATAAATCAGGGAAAGCTGTAATAAATAACCGGGACTATCAGATGGAAGAATTCAAGAGTCCATGTTTCACCTCCTGCAGCATGTGTTCAGGGATCCGCTTCCAGCCCTGTCATTGTCCTTTTTCCTTGAGAGCACCCATCAAGACCGATGATTTCTGTAATCTGTGAATTTGTTGGCAGCGGTCGTGCGGTTCAGGAGAGGAGCGTGAATTGCTGGGGGGGGCCTGGGCCTGTCTGGCTGACAGGTAGCCAGTGCTGCTCGATGCGCCATTATGCCTCGGCTGCAAAGCAGGCGCTTCTCATCCAGGATGGAGAGATGGTACTCACAGAAATCAATCAGCAACGCCACCTGCTCGTGAAGGGGGAGAGACTTGTATCTTCTCTGAGCCAGGCAAAAGAAAGCTTCGACGAAGGCCTGCAAGCACATCCCTTCAAAGAAGAGGAGAGTTTACATTAGAACCCTGGCACAGGTGACTCTCAGGTGCTGCAGTCTTTTGATCTGTCTTATTTCTACCCCACCCTGCCTCCCAAGCACTGGATGTGTACGTACACACTCTCCTGCGCGCTGCTAGTCAACTTTTTAATTCAAGCAACAACTGCCGACAAGGTCACTCACAATACACCTGACCTCTTTGCCCTTCAAAGACCAAAATGAGACATTTTCTGTGTATGTGACACACATATCGAACAGATCAACGATTTTTTAAAAATAAAAGTGTCCCGGAATAGCAAACATGCCCAAATTGGGTTACGGATGGGTGACATTCCCAAAAGCAGAAGCTAGTCACTAGGAGATGCTGTGATAGCTGCATGCATCAGTCTGACCTGAGAGTCTGGCATCTGGAGGTAAATGGCTACAGCATCTATTGATTATAAGAGGTTGTAAAATTGAATTGACTCAAGATCAGCCCTGATTCTTGTTGCTTCAGCTATTACATCGAAATTGAGGCTGACACACATGCACATGCTGAGCTTCAGAGAATATCATCTACCCAAGCCAAAACCCCCCCGTCCTACGTGCCGCTGACGTGTGTCCTTTTAAACGCTGCATTTTTAGAGACGGGATGAAAGCAAAAGCTCAGCTCCGAATAGGCTCCAGATTCCAGGGTGTTTCAGTTGTGGCTCTGCAAAGCTGGTCCCATTTAAGGGGGCCCTCATAAATGTATGAGTGAGTCATCCTAAACTTCCTGTCCCCTCTGCTGACATGGCCCTGTGCAGCCAGCCATCTCTGGCCTGAGTGCTGAGTTGCCCACTCGGATTACCAATCAGTGACAGTCCCAGTGGTGGAGGTAGCAGCAGGGCTCTTCCCCACTAGGAACTGGACGGGAATTCATCAACTCGTTACACCGAACAGCCCCGGGACAGCAATAACTTTCAGTCTCGATGAACCTGGGCTGGATTTGAACTGGCCCCTGGATGTGAAAGGCTCCGTGTTCCACCATCCTCTCTAAGCAGCTCAGTCTAGGGATGTAAGCGACTAGTCGCTTCCCGCCCCCTCCCCCCCACGCTTGCTGCCTCTATCAGAGGCAACAAGGGGTGGGGAGCAGGAGTTGGCACTGAAGCACCGTCTCCACGGTGGGCAGTGGGTAGCGGCACGCTATCCCCGATTCCTGGCTCACACCTAGTCCCAGATGTTGTGTCTCTGATTTTTAAACATATTAACAGCCCGCCGGCTCTTAATACATTTAAAAGGCAGAGCCGCAACAGGGTTAGCTTCCGGGGGCAAGTGCTAACCCCGCTGCAGCTCCCCTGCTTAATGACTAGTCAATGGAAAATTCCATCAACTAGTCGATTCAATTTTACATCCCTAGCCAGGTCCTGCATTTTTGCACATTTGCCCAGGTACAGCTTTCCAATCCACTCTGCTTTGCAGCTGCTTTTCCTCTCCCACTAAAAGAGGCTATAAACGAGAGGCTGGGGCTTGGCTGTCCACCAGGTAATTCACAGCCAAGTGCGGAGACTGGAACCTGCCCCGTGGGCACAGCTGGGCTATTCAGCTCATGGCGCCTAGGGAAGGGAAGGCCAAGGGCCGGGATGGGTTTTCTGCAGCAACAGCAGCTGCCTATTTTGGCTTCTGAAAAGCCCTTTTCTCCAGCTCCAGGGAAAGCGGCTCCCATGAGGGATCTGCGTTGTCAGCTGTTTGCCATCAGTCCGTTCTCAAATTCCCTCTGCTTTCTACCAGCAACCCTTAGCGCCTGCTGCCTTCTTCATTCAGCCCTACCGTGGCAAGACCTGCTACAGCACCAGGTGCAACCCCCCGGCTCTGGCGAGAGGTGCCCTGAGAAAATGACCTCAAGGGGTCAGCAGCTCAGGTTTCTCTCTCATCCAGGAGCTAACCCCCCCAGCCACACACACATTGTACGGACACAGAGGCAAGAGCCCCTTACTGCATCACCATTACCACTTGCCTCCAAAAAGCTAGCTCAGGGGTTCACAAACTGGAAGGGGGGTCACAAGGTTATTATGGGGGGGGTCATGAGGTGTCAGCCTCCACCCCCAAACCAGTGTGCCCTCATTTTTATGTCCACGAGCAGAATGAATGTTCTGATGTGCACCAATATGGAGGCGATGTGGGACACAGAACGTCTCTATTGGTGCACATCACAAAACTCATTCCGCACATGGACGCTGTGGGGTGGGGGTGAGCTGAGGGGTTAAGGGCGAGGGAGAGGGCTCATGACTGGGTCAGAGGCTGGGTGTGGGGGCTCTGGCTGGGAGATCAGTCTCCGGGTGGGGCCAGGGATGCGGGTTTGGAGGGCTCAGGGCAGTGGCAGGGTGAGTAGTGCTCCGGGGGAGGGGGGGCAGGCTCTAGGGTGGGGCTAGGATGAGCAGTTTGGAGGGGGGCAGGCTGCCTAGGGAAGAGGGGACAACCCCCGCCCCCTCTCACCACAGCAGCTTGAGGCCAGGTGAGAGGCGCCTCACCAGCTCTGGCGGGGCCTAGCTGGGGAGGGGCTCCCCGCCAGAGCCCTGGCATGTCTGAACTAAGCTGGGTGGGGGCCAGGGAAGGGGCACTTTGGTGGGGCCAGGGCAGGGATGCCTCTGCCCGGCCGCGGCAAGTCCAGGGTAGCTCTGCACTGGGGCTGGCAGGCCGAGCGTCCCTCTCTGGCACAGCAGCTCTGCACTGGGACCAGGGGGAAGAGGTGCCTCTCCTCACCACAGCTTGTCTGGGGCTTGTGGAGAGGCATCTCCCCCCACTGCTGCCTTAAGCCCCTCTACGGACTTAACAGCCATCTGCACAGCTGCGCAGCTGAGACGGAACTTAGCCACAAACCCCACTTTGTGTGTTAATACAGCAATTCCTCATCTGACACTGCAGGTATGTTTCAGAAAATGATCGTGTTAAGTGAAAACGTGTTACGCGGGGTCAATTTTCCCATTGAAAATAATGGAAAAGGTGGGGGTTGTGTTTCAAGTGGTGGTGTCTGTTGGGACCGGGACATAAGGTTGGGGGAGAAAGGGGACTGGGAGGGGGAGTGTTTGGCTCTGGGGAAAGGAAGGCGGGGGAGGACTGAGTTGGGAGTATGCCCCCGTGAGGAGTCTGCCGGGGAACAGTACGGCAAGCGGTGAACTCTCTGCCGCTTTGCAGGGAGATGGGGGAAGCCCCGTGCAGCTGCCGGCGATGGGTTGCCAGCCTGCAAGTGGGGGTGGAGGAGAGGGGGAGTCAGCGGGGAATGGCGCAGCGAGCAGCGAACCCTCCACCGCTTTGCAGGGAGGGAGGGAAGCCCCGCGCAGCCGCTGGCAACAGGCCGGCTGGGGAAATCGTGTTATTTCAGGGACGGTCGTGTAATTCAAAAAACATTTCCTAAAAAAAATCGTGCTATCGCGAAAACGTGTTAAGCAGGCACGTGTTAAATGAGGAATTATTGTATTCAAAATGTGATTTCAATGTATGGGGGGGCACACTCATAGGCTTGCTCTGTACAAGGGGTTACCAAGACAAAAGACTGAGAACCACAGTGTTAGGCGCTCCTGCAGCCCTCCTGTGCAAACACTGTCTCCCACCCCTTCTGACACTGGTCTGAGGGGAAGTTCAGACCCCCACAGCCGATCTGTCACATGCATCTCGGTGATTCTCCGCAACTGGCCTCCCCAAGGACAAGAGTCTGCTGCAATGCCTTGTGGGAGGGCGAGTTCTGCTCCTTCCACCACCCACCCCCAAGGGAGTGTCATCTCGCTGATCCCAGGAAAGAGATTCGGTTTCACCTCCGAGCCCCGAGGACTGGGTTCAGCCAGAGGAGAGCCAAGCTCTGGGAGCGTGCAGGATGGGCATGCAGAGCGGGGGCATTGGCAACAATTCCTCCACAAAGTTCTGCTTCTCTGCAGGCTCTGCAGAAGCAGGGCTACCCGGGTGTCCTCTGAATGAATCACGTTAACAGCACGTTACGAGGGCCAAGGGGAAAGGTGGCCGCACACGATGCGAATTCCTGCATTTTGGACCCTTGCCGTAACACCCTATTTCATTCTTAATGAAGGCCCTATGTCCCGCCGGACCTTTGTAGAGTGTCAGCAACAAGGAGCTGTCATAGATGGTTGGCATCTTACCCAGCTCCCCCAGTTAGAGCGCACACTTAAGGGGATTATTTTCAGCCCAGATGCTGAGGGTTGGGTTTTTTAAACTCAGTTTAGGTAATTGGTGTTGCAAGAAGCGGCGTCTTTTGAAACATTGCAATTACAGCCCAGAGTCTAATTTCTCTTAACTAAGACTGCAATTGGGGTCACTCACGCGCTCTGCGGTGAACCAGCTTGCACAGAAATGGCTGGGTTATCTGACAGAAGCAGCTGTCAGCTCAGTACATTATTTTACCCGTCACGGGGAGCTATCACATGGGGAGCAGGGCCGATGTGGGAGCAGACGTATTTTCCTCCCACAAGTGACACTCATGCAGAGTATTTAATGGAAAAAGTTAGACTCTGCTGTTTTACAATAACAGAAATAGCTATTGTGTGATTTACAGGTGGAAGTGGGCAAAATTGCCACAGATAGTTCAGGAAGATAATCAGATACAGAAATATTATTCTCTACTTCTCTTATTTCAAAAAAACCCACTTCTGGTTCACTGAGGCCCTAAACAAATCTGGTAGCCCTGGAAGCTGAAACGATGGGATTGAACGTTCACCTGCCTGGGATGCTCTTGCGAATGCAGTCCTGTCAACTAAACTACTATATATTTTAGAGAGTTTGTCTATTGGATCAAGAACTCCTCCGAAATGGTAACAGCTAGGACCACCAAATTTGGTGTATTGCTTCTTCTTATCATAATTTAAAGCAAGGTAAGGGTTTAGTTGTGCCAGGAAAATGGAATGTGCCTGGATTAGTATTGCTTCTCATAAAACCAAACAGAAAAGGAACAGAATCACCAAAGCAAGTACAGTCCTCAAACCTGACAGGATGCAGCGAATGCTGAAAGAGACTGAACCAAGGTGAGCCA